CAGCCATATGACGGCCTTGCCGGAAGGGAACTCTGCTGGCAGGGAATCCTTTAGCCTGCCGTTATATAAGACCCCGATCTCCTTTTATGGTCGGCTTTCCTGCCTTGCCAAGCACAAGTGCAGCCTCATTTGCGTCGGTGGGCTGGCAGAACAATTAAAGCATCTGATTCAAGCTGAGCACGTCGGAGAGGCGGATTTAATGTGGTGGAAAAACCTAGATGAAATCGCCCCTCCTCCTCCTCCTTCTCCTTTAGCCTGCCGTTATATAAGACCCCGATCTCCTTTTATGGTCGGCTTTCCTGCCTTGCCAAGCACAAGTGCAGCCTCATTTGCGTCGGTGGGCTGGCAGAACAATTAAAGCATCTGATTCAAGCTGAGCACGTCGGAGAGGCGGATTTAATGTGGTGGAAAAACCTAGATGAAATCGCCCCTCCTCCTCCTCCTTCTCCCCCCCCCCTTCCCAATCATCTCCAAAATAGCAGCTGGCCTGAAATCATTAACTCCTGGGACCCCCCTCCCAAAATCATTAATTCCTGGGACCCCCCCCCCCCCCTGGCCTGAAATCATTAACTCCTGGGACCCCCCTCCCAAAATCATTAATTCCTGGGACCCCCCCCCCCCCCTGGCCTGAAATCATTAACTCCTGGGACCCCCCTCCCAAAATCATTAATTCCTGGGACCCCCCCCCCCCCCTGGCCTGAAATCATTAACTCCTGGGACCCCCCTCCCAAAATCATTAATTCCTGGGACCCCCCCCCCCCCCTGGCCTGAAATCATTAACTCCTGGGACCCCCCTCCCAAAATCATTAATTCCTGGGACCCCCCCCCCCCCCTGGCCTGAAATCATTAACTCCTGGGACCCCCCTCCCAAAATCATTAATTCCTGGGACCCCCCCCCCCCCCTGGCCTGAAATCATTAACTCCTGGGACCCCCCTCCCAAAATCATTAATTCCTGGGACCCCCCCCCCCCCCTGGCCTGAAATCATTAACTCCTGGGACCCCCCTCCCAAAATCATTAATTCCTGGGACCCCCCCCCCCCCCTGGCCTGAAATCATTAACTCCTGGGACCCCCCTCCCAAAATCATTAATTCCTGGGACCCCCCCCCCCCCCTGGCCTGAAATCATTAACTCCTGGGACCCCCCTCCCAAAATCATTAATTCCTGGGACCCCCCCCCCCCCCTGGCCTGAAATCATTAACTCCTGGGACCCCCCTCCCAAAATCATTAATTCCTGGGACCCCCCCCCCCCCCTGGCCTGAAATCATTAACTCCTGGGACCCCCCTCCCAAAATCATTAATTCCTGGGACCCCCCCCCCCCCCTGGCCTGAAATCATTAACTCCTGGGACCCCCCCTCCCTGGGATCCCCCCTCCCACCTCGCGGAGCTTTAGAAAAGCCCGAGTTTTCCTCTGAACCCCGGGGGTCCCGTCCACTCCCCCCTCTTTCTCCTGGCTGCTGAATTACTAGAGTTTTCAATACTTGCGGGGGGAAGCGGGGTGCACGCGCAAGGGGCATGGGGGGGGACTGGGGGCGGCGGCTTGGTGGGACACGCTGAATTCATCCGCGTTCCCCCCACGGCTGGGGGGGGACGGGGACAGGCTAGCGCTGACCTTGCTGAGTCCATAGTAGCGCGATGAATAAGAGCTCGCTGCCAGCTGGGAGGCAGCGGGCGGGGATTACTCATCCCTCCCTCCATCCCTCCATCAGTCTCCAGAACCTTTCAAGGGCTTCTCAGCGTGGGGGAGGGGGCGGGAGTGCTGCCAAGATTTGGGTTGCCACAGCCACCGGGCCGGGCTCTCCACCAATCAGCGGCGAGCGGCGCGTGGAGGCAGAGGCTGGGTACCACCCACATGTGGAGCCGGGCGGGGTATAAGTAGCGGGGAATGCCGGGGAGCCTGGCAGTGCCGACAGGGAGGCGAACCGGCTTGTGCGCGGCTGCTGCTCTCGCCCGGCGCTTGGAAAGCAGCGGAGCAAGCGCCTGCGAGCGGAGGAAGCTGCTTCCAGCGCTCCCCGGGTGCAAGGGGAAGGCTCGGCCGCTCGCCATCCCGGGGAGAGATCTCAATCCAGGACACGCTCGCTCTTCCCCGGAGCCGCATCGCTCCAGACCCGTGGCACCGGCCGGAAGGACTTTGCCACCGACTCCCTGCTGCCTGCACGGGCGACTGGGTCTCTGACTCGGTGCGGGAGGCTGCCAGGAGGGGGATCCCGAAGCAGGGAGGTCAGCACTAGGGCATAAAGTCTAGCTCTGTGCTGCCTTGGGGCTGAGTGCTACAGGAGCCATGCAGCTGGACAGCATCACCAACGGGAGCATCCACACCGTCCAGGGCCACCGGGGAGTAGCCACCAAGCCCAACGTGATCCTGCAGATAGGGAAGTGCAGGGCCGAGATGCTGGAGCACGTCCGGCGGACCCACCGGCACCTCCTCACCGAGGTGTCCAAGCAGGTGGAGCGGGAGCTGAAAGGGTTGCAGAAATCGGTGGGGAAGCTGGAGAACAACCTGGAGGACCACGTCCCCTCCACCGACAACCAGAGGTGGAAAAAGTCCATCAAGGCCTGCCTGGCCAGGTGCCAGGAGACCATCGCCCACCTGGAGAGGTGGGTTAAGAGGGAGATGAATGTCTGGCGGGAGGTGTTCTTCCGCCTGGAGAAATGGGCCGACCGGCTGGAGTCCATGGGGGGCAAGTACTGCCCCCCAGAGCATGCCAGGCAGACTGTCTCAGTTGGGGTGGGTGGCCCAGAGAGCAGGCCCAGCGAGGGGGAGATCTACGATTATGCCCTTGACATGAGCCAGATGTACGCTCTGACGTCCCCTCCTGGGGACATAATGAGCATGCCCCAGCCCCATGACTCCTACCAATGGGTCACTGCCCCGGAGGATGCTCCGTCTTCCCCGGTGGAGACCCAGATCTTTGAAGATCCCCATGAGTTCCTGAGCCACTTGGAGGACTACCTGAAGCAGGTGGGGGGGACGGAGGAGTACTGGCTCTCCCAGATCCAAAACCACATGAATGGCCCAGCTAAGAAGTGGTGGGAGTACAAGCAGGACTCTGTCAAGAACTGGGTGGAGTTCAAGAAGGAGTTTCTGCAGTATAGTGAGGGCACTCTGACCCGGGACGCCATCAAGCGGGAGCTGGAACTGCCCCAGAAGCAGGGGGAACCCCTGGATGAGTTCCTCTGGCGTAAGAGAGATCTGTACCAGACGCTCTACACTGACGCCGAGGAGGAGGAGATTATCCAGTACGTGGTAGGCACCCTCCGTCCCAAATTCAAACGCTTCCTAAGTCACCCCATGCCCAAGACCTTAGAGCAGCTGATCCAGAGGGGGAAGGAAGTCCTAAGCGACTTCGACCAGTCAGAAGACCCGACCCCCCAGAGAACCCCTGAGCATCAGCCAGGGGACTCGGTTGATAGCTTGCCCCCCTCAACCACGGCTAGCCCCATTGCTAGCGACGAGACGCAGCCCGAGCCCCCTAGCCCGCCAACTACAGTGATATGAGTGAGGATCGCTACGGGATTGGCCTGTATTATGCCGAGGTGTGGAGGGGGCTGATTTAGGACGCTTCTCCTTCGCGAGAGGTTCTGGCTGTGGCCAGTTCTGGCTGGACTCAGTCCACAATGGTCCTCGGCGGAGGAATACATTTTGTTAACGGAGGGGCCACCTGAGAACGTAGCTGCCCACCTCACCCCAGGGTGCAAGGCTGAGGAGGCTATTTGAACTGCTGTGGGGTGGATAGTTTTATGATGCTCTTGGTAGGAAGCTAGATAGTTCCCCACTGCAGAAGCAACCACCCTGTGTTGGTGCTTTTCAAGGACCTGAAACAGGTGCAGCTGTTGACCAAGGGTTCCACCTACCTACCAGTCTCTTACATCTTCCAGAGTGGGGTTCCCCCCTCCTGGGGAGTCTGTTTTGACTTTTGCCCATCTCTGCCTTATTGACAGGGCTTTGTCCAGCTCAAGGGGAAGCCACTGGCTTCTCCTTCCCTCGCAACCTCCCACCAAAGCTTCCAGGCAGACTTTTTTTTTTTTTTCCAAGTTCATCGTTGTTCAGGAGAGCTCCTAGAACTGCAGCCAATGGCAGCTTTAAGGGGCTTGATCCATCTTTACCACCTGATGTTGCATCTCAGTTTTCCTCCAAGTGGTTCTCTCCCTTTCTCCGCTCCTGCTCTTCCCTGGGTGCCCCGTGTCCACTGGACTGGGGCGCAACGAAACCTTTGTTCCTCACTGGGTTAGCCTTCTCTATCTGATTCAGGACCAGGCAGGTTAGAGATCTTTCTACTTGGGGGCCCATGAGATGGGGCAATCAGGCCAAGGCACTGAAGTTGTACATGGGAAAGCTCCTAATTTTTTAAAAATCAAATAAGCACACCCTGAGGTCAGAGCAAAGATTCCCCAAGCAGCAAAGTGATGCTCCTCCCTTGGAGATGCCGCAGCAGGAGGACGTCAGCACCTGTGGGACTGTAGGACTTTGATTCTGTGAGACTTTGCCATGGAAAGCAGAAACAAAGTTGTGAGGCGCTACGGGGGGCGTGTCTCAGACCCTGCAAAGAAGACTCCTTGACAGCAGATGGACACACGCGTTGCTTTCGGGAGGTCTGATGCCCTTGGCATGGGCAGGCCGATGGCTGACGTGTGCCAAATACTGACAGACTTTCTAAAATTAGCCCCTTTGCTCCCAGCTGAAGCCGGACCTGGGCTCTGTGCTACTTTTCCACGGTCAGTATTAAAGACCAGAATGGGCAGCACTTTGACTAACGCATGAAGATGGCACTGAGGACGCTTGGACCTTCGAGGCTCTGGATCGGCACCGCAGGCCCGGCTCAGACACTGAGGAAAGCTTTTCCGGGGGCGTGTTAACAACCGTGCCGCATGCTATCCCTGGCAGCACTTCAGCAACCTGCCAGCATCCATCACCTGATTGAAAAGGCAGGATCAGCACACGAGAGAAACTGCAAGAGGGAGCTGGAATTTCCCTGGGACGTGGCAGCTGCAAAACCTTTGGGGGCGATTCCTTCCCGGAGGCTGAAGGTAAGACAATTTCCTTCCTCTGCAATGAGCAAGTGGGCTGGGCTCAGCATGGGGCCCGCCACACTGGCGTTGCACCAGGACTGACCTGGACCCTTAGGGATGGGGATGAAGAGAGGGATGGAGACTGCTTAGCAGGGCCCAAGGGGGTAGAATGGCTCCGCGTAATGGGCAGCAAAGGGGTGTGTGAAATGAATATCAAGAACTAGGCCAAGACACTGAACAGTGGGCCTGAGGGAGCGGTGAAAACGGGGATGGTGACCCCTCCGGCTAGCTCGCCAACCTACCAGCCCCCTCATTAGCAGGGCTGCATAAGCTAGTCCCTCTAGATCGGGGTGGGGAAACTTTTTAGGGTTGGGGGCTGCAGCCGCACAGAGAAATCAATGGGGGGCCGCACACACGTGAGAAGCGAAAAATACCTTCACTGACGTGGCCCCCGACTGAGAGGAAAAGACCCTCCCCACATGCCCCTCGCACTCCAAAGCCTTGGCAGGTCCGAGCTAGCAGGTTTTGTGGGCTCCAGCCCCACAGGGGGGACAGCGGTGAGGCCATAGGGTGAGCGCAGGCTCCCCAAAGCTGAGGGGAAGCCTCAGGGACCAGATCCAGGCAAGGTGGAGGCCGCATCCGGCCCCAGGGCCTTAGGTTTCCCAGCCCTGCTCTAGACTGAGATTCCCAGTTCGAGCCCCGGGGGTGATAAGTGAGCCGGTGTGGGCTGAGGGAGTTTGCCGAAAGCAAGGGATCTTTGCTTGGCTGTGAGCGCATGCCAGAGGGGGCGGGGATCTGAGGGACTGGAAGACAAAGTTTAAATGTGAGGCTCATGTGTATTCTCCTCCTTCTGTTACAGTGACTCGCCCAGACCCTCCTCTGAGGAGAATTCGCTTCAGGTTGCTCAGAGCACAGACAGAAAGCCTGGAATTCCCAGGAGGCAGGAAGGGGTCGGACTTCACAGCCACCAGTGTGCTTCACCTGCAGCCCCGAGGGACAACAGCCAGGCCAGGTAACAGCACTCTGCCAGACCTTTCCCAGGGAGTCTGAGGCCAAGTCCCCCCCAGAAGGCGGCTCAGGGCCATTGCATGCACCACCCAGAGGAGTTGTTTCCCGATAGAGTGGGTGTCACAGCCTTCCCTTCTGCATATGCCGCTCCGGCCACCAAGCAGAGCTCAGGGTCTGATGAGTCAGGCAACCGTGTGTCCGTCTGGGCAGCAATGCAACGTAGCTGGCCTTGGCTAAGCCAGGCTGTGCAGATTTCAAGGCTGGGGTTGGAGCCAGGCTTGGCAGGGCCTGAAAGGCCCCCCCCCCCCCCCAGCCTCAGGTCCCTCCTGCACCCTGTGCTAAATCCTGCTTGTTGTCTCTTCCAGGGATTTCTGTTCAGAGGAGAGCCTCAGTTTCCATGGGGAAGAACAAGAGAGCTCCGCGCTCCCAGAAGAGCCGCCTTCTGGGGGAAGAGGGGATGCGAGGAAAATGCTTCTTTAAAGACACAACGCGGGAGAGACGAAGAGGGAGCTACGTCAGCTGAGCAATAAAGCTCCAAGACTTTTCTGGTCAAAGCTGGGCCAAGCTCCACAGAGCCAAGGCGAACGTGGGCATGAAGGAACAAGACCGTGCTTGGACTTTGGGGACACGCCAGGATGCTGGGGTTGTGCTGTAGCTAAGCGATACTCCTTGCTGATTTCGGTGTAACTGCACCCAGGGAACTGGCGGCTAACAGGGGCGGATCAAAGCTTGGTTGTGAACTAAAATGCTCTTCTGACAATCTGCCAAAAACCGCCCATCCAGGCAACCCTCCTGGTTGTTAATACTGTCACTCATTGGAGCTGGTAGTTTCATTTCATTGCAGGCAGTCCTGGTCAAATGTTAATAGCTTTGGAGGTTCAGAGAAGCATCAGGGAAGCCAGGTGCTTGTCTGAACCATAATCACCACTAGAGTGGGGTTTCTTGTGCAGCTTTGGTGCTTTCGTTTCCAGCCAGAACCAGGAAGTGTCCTAGAGTGTGAGAAACCGGAATGTGAGTGAAATTGACCAAACTTTTTGAACTTCAAGAAAGTTTGGGTTCACGCCTTGGGTGGAAGGGCTGGGTCAGTTCTTATTTCTTCCAGATCCATTTGTGTGTGTGTGTGTGTGTTGAGCTACCAAATGCCAATAACCAAAATCTGCAGCATTTTGTAACATTTAACTGAGCTGGTGAGATCCGATGCACACTCCAGTGATCAGTCACCAAACATATCCAGGGACCAGATTATGTGGGTGCCACAGAATGCCTGCAACTAGGTAGACTGCAGAAGTGGGGGGGAAAAAACCCTCTGATTTGCACTGCTCAAGGTGAAGACTTTCAGGGATCCTCCACTATCCACTAGCACTGTCTTTGGGCCTTTTCTTTTCTAGAATGTTTAGTCTCACTTTGTTAAATAAAGCTGATTGAAACATGGCACCTTTTGGTCCTGGGATTTTTTTTTTCACCTGACTTTTTGGAGTATGCAGAGCTGGATCTCAGGTACTGGTTTTATCTCACTGGTTGCTCCTAGCCATTTGGAGCTTAACTTGTAGCACCCTGGTTTACAGAATCATCTTCTCTTGAAAGGACTGATCATCTGTCTGTCCCAGGGCAGACTGAGGTGTGTGAGCTGGGGTGAGTGGTGAAAACCGAAACAGATTTCAATGACTATCGTTTTCTGAGAATTTTACATGTAAGCCTGACAAAGCTGCTACATAGATTTATTTTTACTATAGATCTTATTAATTCATATGCTGTTGTACAAAGGGTGACCGTAAGGAATTGTTACCAGTCCCCATCATTGGGTTGAAAGCCAAAGGTCTTTGCGCGATGAAATAACTTAACTTAGTTCTGACTGTATCATGGGACAGGTTGGAGTTACTGGAATCTGTCAGTAGAACAACGCCACAGTCTGTCTGCCGCTGTCGCAAAGTTTGTGCTTCGGAAAGAGCCTTTTGTAGATTTATAGAATAAAACACTGAAACATCTGCTTACAGCTGTCTGCTTCTTGCTCTCCATTCTTTACCTGTCTTGTACCCTGCAGAGCTAGAGACATGAGAATCTGAGAAGAGCTGAATTTGATAACCCCAAATCATGAATGATTCCACCCTCTAAAAGCCTGTCTCTGCAGGAACAAAAATCTATTTTAAAGGACAGAATCCTCTTTAATTCTGCAGATCCTGGATCTATCCTCAATGCCGTAGGAGATTGACTTAATTAAGCGGGCCCCAGGGTTTTTGTTATGATCACACTGTGTTCTGTATGGTTAGGAGGCGCAGGATAACGAAGGATTTAAGAGGGAGGCCTGGCCCTTTAAGAGGGGACAGGTCCAGTCCACCTGTGTCTCATGAGCAGGCTCTCTGAAAAGAGCTGGAGGAAGAGGGGTGCAAGAGTGAAAGTGCAGAGAGTTAGAAAACTCCTGCTGGCAGAGGGAGGTTGCAGAAGAGTCAGGGGCTTCAAGGAGCAGGCGAGGGGGGACAATGTGGAGTTTCGCAGGGGAAAAGCCTCAGGACTGAGTGCTGTGAATTTTATATAACTAAATTTACTATTTTTAAGGACTCTAGCTAAAAGGAGTTAATTTAAGGGGTACTTGGAGGAAGGGAAGTCGAGGCAGGGTGCTGCAGAGTCAGGTGGGGACGCAGATGACTGGTTACAGCCAACGTTGTGCTTTCCAAATTCTGGGTGCAAGCAACGGCAAGTTAGAGCAGCCTCAGATGTAACTATGCTCATCTATCCATTGTCCAAAGGGGATCAGCAGTGGCGGTCACCCCACGTCACCTAGGTCAAGAGCCACGTGGTGTCAAGCTTCTATGCTGGCCTTTTCCAGCTGGGAAATCTCTCTATCCCACGGATGGTTTCTAGTCTCCAGGGCAATGTAAGGGGACCATAACAAGGCAGAGAATCCAGCCCAGTAGGTGAAGTGAACATAACACCGTTGAAAAGTTCCGGACTGGTCCAATTAGAGATAATTGTTTCTCCAAGCGTGGCACACGAATCTGCGCTGTTCTAGCACTCCAGACTTGACCTGGAGGGGCCTCTTTTAAGGGAGAGAGCTAGTTCAGCCTCCCTGCCTATTCAGCAATGTTCCCTCTAATCTTTTCCATCCCTGCATGGAATAAATGTTGTTATGTGCACCAAGGCATGCACAAATGTGCACCACCAGGAGAACCAAAACCTAGCTGTGGGTGCGCTGCTAATCTCCTGAGCAGCTGCACAAGCGCCCGGCTTAGATGGAATGCAGCTATTCAGTCCTTTGCCTTTCTGGCTAGGCTGCCCGACAGGGAGCTCATAGCAGCATTAGTTTGGGTGGACGCTGAAGTAGAGTGAATCACTGATTCAGACTAGATGGGGCCCAGTGAATATCGGGCATCCCCTTCTCTGATTCTCACCACAGCTGGGCAGAAATAGTTGTTGTGTTTTGATAGCAGTGGAATTATTAGCTCTAGTACACTAATAGGAACTCAGACAACGCATCCAGCCATAAGACTGTTGGAACGTGCTCTACTAGAGCACCGCAGTGTAATGATAAAACTATTTCCTAGGAGGGTGGGGAAGCACTGGAATGAGTTCCCTAGGGAGGGGGTGGAATCTCCATCCCTAGAGGTGTCAAGTCCCATTACCTCAGGAGGTCATCAAGTCCAGCCCCCTGCCCAAGGCAGCACCAATCCCAACTAGATCAACCCAGCCAGGGCTTTGTCAAGCCAAGACTTAAAAACATCTAGGGATGCAGATTCCACCACCTCCATAGGTAACCCGTTCCAGTGCTTCGCCATTCTCTAGTGAAATATTTTTTCCTAATATCCAACCTAGACCTCTCTCACTGTAACTTGAGACTACTGTTCCTTGTTCTGTCATCCGTACTACTGTGAACAGCCTTTCTTCATCCTCCTTGGATCCTCCCTTCAGGAAGTTGAAGGCTGCTATCAAATCCCCCCTCACTCTTCGCTTCTGCAGACTACACAGACCCAACTCCCTCAGCCTCTCCTCATAGGTCATGTGCTCCAACTACCCTAATCATTTTGGTTGCCCTCCGTTGGACTTCTCCAGTGCGTCCACAACCTTTTTGTAGTGGGGGGCCCAGAACTGGACACAATACTCCAGATGTGGCTTCACCAGAGCCGAATAAAGGGGAATAATCATTTCTCTGGATCTACTGGCAATGCTCCTCCTAATGCACCCTAATATGCTATTCACCTTCTTGGCTACAAGGGCACAGTGTTGACTCATATCCAGCTTCTCATCCACTGTAATCCCCAGGTCCTTTTCTGCAGAACTGCTACTTAGCCATTCAGTCCCCAGCCTGTAACAATGCTTGGGATTCTCCCGTCCCAAGTGCAGGACTCTACACTTGTCCTTGTTGAACTTCATCAGATTTCTTTTGGCTCAATCCTCTAATCTGTCTAGGTCACTCTGGACCCTATCCTTGCCCTCCAGAGTACCTACCTCTCCCCCTGGTATAGTGTCATCTGTGTACTTGCTGAGGGTGCAATCCATCGCTTCATCCAGGTCATTAATAAAGATGTTGAACAAAACTGGTCCAAGAACAGATCCGTGGGGCACTTCACTAGAAACTGACCGCCAACCTGACATCGAGCCATTGATCACTACCCATTGGACCAACAGTCTAGCCAGCTTTCTATTAATCTTACAGTCCATTTATCCGATCCATACTCCCTTAACTTGCTGGCAAGAATATTGTGGGAGACTGTATCAAAAGCTTTGCTAAAATCAAGGTATATCACATCCACTGACTTTCCCATATCCACAGAGCCAGTTACCTCATCATAGAAACTAATCAGATTGGTCAGGCATGACTTGACCTTTGTGAATCCATGTTGTCTATTTCTTGACACGGCCCTGGCTGGGTTGATTTAGTTGGGATTGGTCCTGCTTCGGGAAGGGGGTTGGACTTGATGACTCCTGAGTTCTCTTCCAGCCGTAGGATTCTAGATGCACCCAGGTGGGGCATTTACAAATGCAGAATCCTGGAGCTCTGTAATTAAAAACACCAGTGTCCATCGCCTGAGCCGCCTAATTAAGCAAGCGGCAGAAACAGTCTCATCCAGTAAAGAGGGACAAAGCCACATTAGTGGGCACTAAAATCAGTTTAAAAAAGTCGAATTTCCCGTGCAATGTAGCAAATGGTAGCGCAGGGAGGGGCCATCGAAGGTCAGGCGAAGGAGAGGTGTTTTCCGACTGGAACTGAAAACTACCCGGAGTATCGGCAAGATGGAATTCTAAAAAAGCCTGGTTAAGACGGCAGAAGCGCCAAGAGGTGAAAGATCTCGCATGCACCATTGGTGTCTAAATTATGTTGTGGGATGGAGAGGAGACAGACGCTAGAGAACTGACAGTGGGAAGAGATGGGTTTCGCCAGGGAGGTTGTTTGGAGCATGGAGGGTTTTCTAAATTGGCAAGATTTTTCATTTTGCGTCGGCCCCCTCTGGCTTTTACCCCAACTGCAGGCGAATAAATTGTGAGAACCTCTTTTCTGCTGGGGCAGCCAACAAGTCTCTAGAGAGCCATAAGGCTTTAACCGTCTCCAGCCTCTGACAAACAGAGGCCAGGGACACCATTTCTATCCCCTGGCTAATAGCCTTTTACGGACCTAACCTCCATGAAATTATCTAGCTTCTCTTTAAACTCTGTTATAGTCCTAGCCTTCACAGCCTCCTCTGGCAAGGAGTTCCGCAGGTTGACTACGCGCTGTGTGAAGAAGAACTTTCTTTTATTAGTTTTAAACCTGCTACCCGTTAACTTAATTTGATGTCCTCTAGTTCTTCTATTATGGGAACTAATAAATAACTTTTCTTTATTCACCCTCTCCACACCACTCATGATTTTATAGACCTCTATCATATGCCCCCTCAGTCTCCTCTTTTCTAAACTGAAAAGTCCCAGTCACTTCAACCTCTCTTCATATGGAACCCGTTCCAAACCCCTGATCATTTGGTTAGTTTAGAGAAGAGATGAATAAGGGGAGGGACAGGATAGAGGGATATAAAATAACAAGAAGAGGGAAGGTTAGGGCTACCAGATGGTTTCAACAAAAATACCGGACACACTTGACATTACATCACAATCTACATTACATCTTAGTTAGAAAATACCAGATGTTGATATTTTCTCATTTTGATTTTCTCGATTTGTTTCCCGAACAGAAAGCTCAACTACTGGACTGTCTGGTTCAAAACCGGACACCTGGCAACCCCAGAGAAGGTCTGTATCTTCTCACCCAAGCTAGGTGGGATTCCAAATATCTTCCACCTTACCCAAAACTCTCAGCAACACATGCTCCCTCTTTGCGCACGCTGACTGGGCCTCACACCTCTTGATGTGACTCAGAGCTGGTGTTAATCCCTGGTGCCCACTTAATGGACTTGCCCCAGGACTGAGGATGGCTGAGAGTCGTCCCAGCAACTAAGAAACTGCCTGCCGGAGAAGGAGAGACAAAGTCCCCTGCAACTCCCCATCAGGGCAGGAGGGGGTGCTCTGGAGGTGTTTATTCACTGATTATCCCTCCCCACCCAGCACTGGACACAGTAGGTTATCCTTGAAGGCTGGTTCCCCATATAGACTATAATAGAGTTTAAAGAGAAGCTAGATAATTCCATGGAGGTTAGGTCCATAAAAGGCTACTAGCCAGGGGTTAGAAATGGCGTCCTTGGCCTCTGTTTGTCAGAGGCTGGAGAGGGATGGCAGGAGACAAATCGCTTGATCATTGTCTTCGGTCCATCTGGGGCATCTGCTGCTGGCCACTGTCGGCAGACAGGCTACTGGGCTAGATGGCCCTTTGGTCTGAGCCAGTACGGCCGTTCTTATGTTCTTATAGTGGTACATGCCCCTGTCCCTACCTTGCTGGGTGGGATGGTCTGCCCCCCAGAAAGACATTTCATTCTGTCTCCCTTAATCAGGTGGGGAACCTTTTTTGGGTCACCACTAACCCACAGAAAAAATTAGTTGGGAGCCACACACCAGAGCCTAGTAGATTTTGTGTGCTTCAGGCCTGCAATGGGGCAGACA